CAACTCTTGTGTAAAAGATAGAAGATATTTAAAGCAAAACTTTGGGACTTAGATTTGCACTTTTGGTTATATATAGCTGTTTTGATTTGCACCATCAAGGAAGTAAACATATCAATGCTAATCTAGAGGTTATAAACCTAATTAGGAAGGTTTAGATGTCAAGTCTACCCAATTAAATATGCAAGAATTTTCAATGTTTGTCTTAGAAATTAAAAAATGGTTAATGAAAGGGGAAGTATTTTTTATGTTGTTGGATTTAAAGTTGAGAATTGAAGGATGTTGGATCCTAAAAATCATAAAGCAATTGAACCCAAAATATAAATAATAATAATTAAAAAAAAATACAGGACTAGATTCAGATTTAGAGTCTATTAATTTTTTATTGATTATGCCTTGCTTTAAAATTAATTACGATTTATCAATATATAAAAAACATGTGATTCCTTATTCTTTTGAAATATTATAGATCCGTCAATAATTTTTCGCTTGATCTTATCATTTTCCTAGTATTATATTTAAAATAATGGAATTTAATGTTCAAACTTTTGTAGATGCGAAATAAAAAAACGAGAGTTTTAACTATCAAGTAGAGAATAATCGGTTTTATAATAAATAACGTGTAAATAACGTGAACTCATTAACTAAATTAAAAATTCGGCTAAATATATCCATATATTCTTATATAATACTCAAAGTCTATCATATATCCTTAGATTTCTAATTGCATCCTATTTGTTCTTGAAAAATTATGAAATGTTTAATTTATCATGTCGGTCAAATTTTTCAACCATAATTTTTTTGCTAAACTACCCTTTATTAAAATGTGAAAAAAAAATTGAATTTACTTGATCTACTTGTTTCATTTTTGAAGTATTTATATATATTTTTTTCCTACGTTTCAATTAGAGGCATTTTGGTAAAAAAAATTTTATTTGCATTAAAAAAATGATCGAAATGACAAATTGAACATTTTAAATACTTTCAGATACAAATAGAATGTAATTAAAAACTTAAGAACGTATCAAAAACTTTGAGTATTATATAAGGATAAATGAATATATTTACTTTAAAAATCCTTCAAATACGGGTCACTTTAGTATTTTTTTAACATCGGTTTTTGCTTTTTTCTGATTATTTATTCTTCTTTAGATATCTTAATTTGTGAACTAAATAATTCTTTTTTATTGATTAAAGTCAAATATATTTATAAAATTAGTGTAAAATACTACAAAATATATATTAAAATTGAAAATTCCCAAATTTAATAGTAATTTATTTTAATTTCATACATTTAAATTTTCGGAATTAATTGAAATATTATTAAAGGTTTTTATAAGCCTCCGCATGGCAACGCCCAAGTCCTGTGCTGGTTCTCCATTTTTATGTAATAACCTGCACAATTGTTGAGCGTTTTATGCCCAATTGAGAAGATATGATTCCCTATTTTTTTCATGGATCACAGAATTAAATCCTTGCTGTTATTGGACAAGGATATTCAGTGGTATGTGTAAAAGAAAAGAAAAAAAAAATCTAAAAATGGCCTTTCATAAATCATTTTGTCCTGTGTTATAGATTTTTATTTTTATTCTACACTTTGAATCTTATGAAACAGTATGAATCTTGTTCCCTCTCATGAAGAAGCCCTGCCCTCAATGTTTCTTGCCTTTTGGCTTCTCCTTATAAAGAAATTGCAGACTCAAATTTAGCGTGGTCTAGAAATTACAAAAGTTTATGGCTGGCAACTTGCACTCTTATATTTCCAATTAGTGCAACCAATCCCAGCATCTGTGGTGGACTCGTTAGGAAATTGACAGATTATGGTATTTATATTGGTCCTGCCAAATAGTATAAATCGGTAGTCTTCTTATCATGAATTAATGCACTAATTTCCTACTACCAATTTTCTATTATAATTAATTCATCATTATTTAACTAGCCAATAGGCTTTCTGTAACCATAGATTGGTAGTCCGTTTGTAAACAAGCATTGACTTATAGAGCAGATTTAAGATTCGATTCTCATGATCAGTATTTTTGAGAATTTATTCTTAGAATACTCAATGTCATACATTAGAAAGTATTCCTTAACTACGTCCAGAGAGAGATTAATCTTAGAGTTACGCGAAAATTTGCCTAAAAACACCTATGGTGCTGAATCAATAAATAAATAAATAAAGAAGAAGAATATGCATTCCTTCTTTCATTTGTAAGCATCCAACAATTGAATGTGTAACGTGTGGTGAACACAAGTGAGAGTTAACGAGATTGATGCCTAAGGCTAACCAAACATAGGTGTGGGGAGTGATTGCTTTCAATAAAAGTAACGAGCTGATAAATTTATACTATTAATTTGTCATATTTAGTGGCATAAGTTATTATTTACGCAAACCATTTTGTGTGGATGGTGATTTTCAATTCAACAAGAGCTGGGCTAACCTTAACAAGCACAGCTAACATATTGAGACTACATGCACTTAATTTAATGGCCGTGACTTGAAAATGTGTAGGAAAGTGACTGTTGGTTCTCGTTTGGAAAATTTTCCATGCCAGTTTTATTTTCAACGATGTCTAATGCCCCTCTGTTATCGCAAATTTACAAAGTACTAAGCCTTATGCTTAAAATGGAAGCAGGCTTTGTCACCTTTCAGCCACATCTGTTTCTCATTAATCTTTTGCTTATATCAACAGCATCATCATGCTTGTTTGATTGTCAACATGTCTGAGCTTTTGATTATGAAATATAAATGTTTCAGGTCATCATTTTTCTTATCATAGTCCAGAGAATGCTCACAGGAGCTAGGTAAGAAAGGCTTAATTGTTCGTTTGGTTGCTTCTCGTCGTCATACTTGTGAATCTTAGAAGGAAGCGAACGTGGCTGCCATTGTTAAATGTATGTGTATTTTTAACTTGAAGGGGAACTTCATATAACTAAGCAAGCGAGAAAAACTTTAAATTTAAACAATCACTTGTTTTTTTTTTCTTCAGAACATAAAGTAATTATATGAATTTAGTCAAAAGAGATCAACCATGTTCACATTTTCACTATATAGAAAACATGTCACATTTCCATGAAAACAGCAGAGAAATTTTGAAAGACATGAGCAGGAAAAATTAGCAGTTGAAACCTGTAATGTATAATCCTCCAAGTGGTATAGAGGTTTGAAACTAAGGTTAGCTATCAGAAAGTCATCATGTCTTGTCACTTGCACCAGCAAAGCTGTCATTCATGAGAATATGGTATCAGAAAGAGGCTGAACCTGTTCTGCGTAGCTGAGACTTGGGCTCAGGAGGTGGCGCACATGACAACAAATTCTCTGCCTTCTGCAAGAAAAAATCTATCGTAAAGGAAACTTTGTTGTGCAATCTGTAAGGAAATCAAGTTATATACATTTTTAGCTCATAACAGCAACAACAATAACTTCTTGTGTGTCCCATTACCTGAGTCAATCTTTTTCTATGCCTAATGGACTATAATTCAGATACGGCGAAGATTAACACATGCTCATATGCCTTGATATGGCCACAGGAGCCAGCAGCAACACAAAGGGTTCATGAGGGACTAAAGTTTAGAGTTACTCTCTATGTCTATGGAAAGTCTAGGTAATTTGAGACAGGATTATGGTACATAGACACCGGTCTCGTTGAACTTGAGATCCTTGCCAACGCAAGTGCAGTAAATGTAGATGCTTTTAGTTGCAGTTGCAGTTGCGAACATGGTGTAGCAAGCTGTCGCAGTTTTGTAAATCTTTCATATAGTTGATTTTGTCGAATTTCACTATAAATACATAATATTAATACTTTCTAGATTAAAAAAAATACATATATTCTTTACAAACACATGACTTGTCAAAAAAAAAAAAAAAAACGACTTAAAATAACAGCTACAACGCCCGTGATGACAACAAAATCTCAAACGTTATAAAACAGAATATAAAATAACAGAAGGTCAAAAATCAGTTACGTAACGGGCGATTTTAAAACCGTGATGAACGCACTATTTGGAAATCGAAGACAAAGGGCATAGCAGCATGTCTAATATTACAATCTGTTGGAAATTTCAATAGGCCCTGGTGCAGCAGCAGGGACTGCATACAAGAGATTTTGCAAATTCAAAAACGTGATTAGAAGTGTGATTGTGTGGGAGTTGGTCTGTGCTAAGTCATAAACCACTACGGTACAATGTGGTAGGGTTTTTCTTGTTTTTGTTTTTTGGGACAAATGCAATGTACTCGGGTTGGTGCAGCCTAGCTAGGCAATTACAGGTGATTTACACCTGCTGAGTATACTTTAGAAGATGGAGCACAAATGTGGCTGGTCTGTTCCTGGGTTGTGACAAGATGTGTCATTAGCCTCATATTTCCAAATGGAGGACGAAAAAGCTCTTTCATACTGAATGCGATATCAAACTGCAGCCGACACTTAAAAACTACAGGTTTGGCTGAAAAATAAAAACTTGGATCTGTAACAAAATAAATGAAAACAAACAAGACTGACTTTCACATTATTGGTGAAGCTGAAAAGAACATAAAAACATGTTCCACAAACTGTAGGAAATCACCTCATGTTTGTTTGAAACTGTGTTAAAAGCTATCGAAGGAAATCCAAATTTTTGGCTCTATAAAGCAGAGTATTGTGAGGGATGAAGGGAAAACAAAAGTAGACACGAAGAAGCGCGTATGGAATGAATCACCCTCATTTTTAATTGAATACTAAATAAGCTAAGGAAGTAACGGATTAACTTCGCTATCATCCCCTTAGGGCATTAGGCAATTCTGCCATGCCAGCAGGTGTGATGCTTCAATGATCACACTGGACATACCATGTGACAATGGCTATATGCAAGATCGGATGCAGAATTACGAGCAATAAGGAAAGTTAAAGCTAGGTGTAAGAATAATGCAGAGAGAACATCTAGAAATGAATACGAAAACAAATTAGGATCTGTTTGAAAGTTGCATTTCAATGGATAAAAAGGATGCAGAAAAAGAATCTTAAGAGGTGTCACTCAAGATAGAACCCATCACCAAGAAGGAAAGGGATGACACGAACAAGAAGGAAGGTTTGGCCATTGTGATAAACAACAAGGAGGATGGTGATGCATTTGCCCAATAAACCCAGAATCTGAAAGAATTCTTGAAACAATCCTAAATCAAGTAGTAAAGGATCTTATTGATTGCATCCAATTAAACATTTAGACTACTAAAGATGATTTTAAAACTGTAAAGAAAAAGTGACACGAGGCAAAGCATGAAACTTGAATTGGCCACTAGAAGATCGATAAGGAAGTCTACCTTCTGTCTTCTAAGTCTTTCATTCTCCTCTTCTAAACGAGAGACCTTAATCTCCAGCTCGTGTGTATACGCCTGTTGTTCAATTCACCAAAACATTCAGGACTCTTTACCCATAATCAAATAAAATATCAAACTGTCTCACGAACAAAGAACTACCAAAGAAAAAACCAACCTGCCTCCTTGCACGCGAGCGGGCAGCAGACTCCCGGTTCTTAATCATCCTCTTCTGCTTCCTTTCAACAATCTTCTCAACCACATCTCCCGGAGCAACCCTTTTCCGGCCAGGAGTCTGCGAGTCTGGCGGAGTCTCCATCAGAGAAGATGGGGACAAGTTCATTCGGGAATCAAGATACGCTGAATCGACAACAGGAAGGGATTGCTGAACATGGTGGCCTTGCATAAAAACTGTCATCATATTATTTTGATACGATGGCTGCTGCACTGAAGGGAGCTGGAATTGCATCCATTGAGCACTTTCCTGCTGTTGTTGTTGTTGCGGCGGAGCCGATTCTGTAACCACCCCTGCTTTAACCAAGAAGTCCTCGAGAGTCATCTCGCCGAAAGGAGCATTTATCCCTTGATTATCAGCATCATCTTTCGTATTCTGCTGCTGTATATCTCTCCATACCTCCTCGATAGTCTTCTTGCTAAGATCCCTGGACAATGTCAGGCTTCCCTGCCGATGCATCGGTGAGGGCCAAGCAGCCACATTGTCCACGCTCTTAAGAAACTCATCGAGATTCATGCTCCCCAGCGGTTTTCCCATATTCCCCAACTGGTTTTGAACCTCATCAAGTTTCAGGCTGTACAATGAGCCTTGCCCAACTAAAGACTCTGGATTTTCTTCTTCAAATGAACCACCTTGAGATCCCATTTCCTCTTTTACCTTTCCCAATCAATCCAATCTAGGTATACCAATCATTCATTCCAATTCACAAATGAAGACCAGTTTTACTGTCTAATCTCTCTCTCTCAGTCTAGTAAAACTGCAGCTTCAAAAGATCATAAATTATGTCAAAGACAGAAACTTGATAGACAAAGAACTAGAAACAGTATCAAAACTCAAAAGCCAAAGTATAACTACAGGAAAAAAACAAATTAAAACTCAAAAAATGGAAATAGTTTTCAAACCCAATACGTTCTTCTTTGAAACACTCAAAAGAAAACAAATATACGATCAAATGAAATGACACCCATAAAGATAAAGGAAAAAAAAATTGACACTCTAAAGGAACAGATGTATGAAACTTTTGAAAGAGAAGAACCAGATAACTTTTTTCTACTGACAACGGGAGAAACTCCAAAATTCTGACATGGGGAATTAAAACAAGAAACAAAAGAAGTAAGAAAATATAGGAAAATTTTAGATTTCTGTACTTACATGCTGCAGGATATGATCTGAATCTACAGGAGTAACATTTTGTTTGGCTGTAAGTGGGGACAGTGTCACTTCCTAACTTAGCCCACATTCTTATGGCTGCCTTTTTCTTTCTTTAAAATCCCGCTTTTTACCTTCTTCTTCATCTATTTATTTATTTATTTTTATAAGTTATCTCAATTTGATAGTGGAGATAAATATATTTTATATTAGAGATAAAATTAATCATGTTTTAGGTGAAAGAGATAAAATTTAATTTTTTTTAATATGTGTAATTTAGAATTTAAATCCTGCACATTGATAGAAAATTCATTTTTTTTTTTTTAGGTATCTTTATCATACATTGGAGTTATGATTAATTATGTTCGAAGCCAAAGAGACAAGATTTAATCTTTTATCAATAAATACAGCTTCATGATTCTAACCATGGACATTGATGGAAAATTCGTTTTGCTTTTTTTAAAAAAAAATTTTAGATTTTTTTATTTCACATTAGAAATAAAACTAATTTTATTCGAAACGAAAATAATAAATTTAATTATTTTTAACAAGTACAACTCCAAGATTCAATGGAAGTCATTGAGGATTAAATTCAAGACATGTTCATAAATAATCACACTTTCTGAGTAAAATTTTTATCATTGGACCATTAATCCTATGGAATTAGTTATACTCTAGTGACTTGTATATTGTTTCCTATGCCTCTAATTTTGTTAAAGATAGAATTTTCCTTGGTGATGCTGAAAAACATTCCCCTTACTACCTTTTTTTTTCCTAGTAATGTTAGGAACACGAATTCTTGATCCAGCCCTAGGAAATCAAAGGGATTAAAAAAAAAAAAAAAAACAGACTTTTCATTAAGTTTTAAATTGCAATAGGTTTCTGTATGCATTCACTTTCAAGAATCCACTCGTTTGTGGCTAACATTACTTGAAATCGGATTGATCTGATTATTAAAAATATTCTCCTTCTTAATAATTAAAATTCAAAATTTAAAGTATGGATTGTGTTAAAAGATCTCGAACACGTTAATATTTTTAAGTCTTCAATGATTGAAAGAATTCAAATAAATAAATAAACTAAAATGATAAACACTCAAATAAATAAAATAAAAAGTTGGATATTTAAATAAAAATAATAATCAAATGGCAGTTTTTTTTAAAAAAAAAACTGAATTTTTTATTGGATTTATTTTTTTGCCATGTGACAGTTCACTTTGAATGCATCATCATTTTCTAGTCTCATATTAGTTTTTTCACTTGTTTTATGCTATGGGTCGGACGTAACATATAAAATTATTTTTTAAAAATTATTTCAATTTGATGTCTCATGTTATATTGTGCGTCTACTAATATATATATATATATATATCAAATCAAAATTAAATAAACATTCATTCAATTTTATAATTTTTTAATCAAAATTTTGTATTTGACAAATTATTCTTTATATTTTCATAAATTTTTTATTAAAAAAATATTATTTATTTATTTATCTATCTTTATCTTCATTTTTAGTTAAAAACTTAGTTAGTAAATTATTTTTTCTAAACATTTTTTTGCCTTAAAGTTTTTAATTAAAAAATCGAGAGGGGAAAAAAAAAACAAGAACCAAAGTAACCAAAATGAAACAAAAAAGAGAAACCAAAATAAAACAACAAAATTTTGTAGACCAAAAAAAAAATGTTTTTTTAAAAAAGAAGAACCAATATGTAATATCACAAAAATTTTCATAATAAATATTTTTAAAAAGTTTGAAAACTATATAAAAAAAAGCCACCGCATTGTGAAATGAATATTGTTTATTAATCTGTGTGAATAATACATATGAATCAGGAATAGTGTATATGAGTCTATGTAAATAATACATATAAATCTTGATGAATAATGTTTAGAACAATATTAATGAATAGTAAACTAACGTTATGGTTTATTTTATTTTTATTTTTTAATATTTGAGACAACTCAAATAAAAAAGGAAAAAAATCAGATTGGACATTTAAATGAATAGAATTAAAAATTCTGTATTCAACTGAAATAAAAATAAAAAATTTCTGTAATTAAATTGTAGTTTTCTTAATGGTAAAGATGAATGTAATCTTAATAGCTTGACCAGACAACTAGGGGCAAACCAAAAAAGGTAAATTATGGAGGCAGCAGTAGCCCTGGGAAGGTGGAATATTCTTAGTTACAGTGAGGCAATCAAACAAACAAACTCATTCTTAAGCACGTGATCTGTATCCGTACGAGGATGTGCGTGCGCCTTCAGCCGAGGAGGGATGCACGAGCACGTGTTTCATGTTTCCTAGGTTTTTCTTTTCTTTCCTTTTTCTCAATAAAGTTAAAAAATATACACATATATTTCTCTAGGGGAAAATAACAAGTAAATCACCCATGTATACTATATTTCTCAATTTCATCCCAAACCGAAAAACAAGTTATCAATTTGACCTGACTGAACCTGTTCTTTGTCATTCAACGTTATCCCTCAAATTCAATCAAAATTCCCTTATTGCATTGTTAGTTAATGGAATCAATTACCCATCCAATTGCATTTAAAAAAAAAAGAAGATTATATTTCTATTACCAAGTGCAAAATCACAATTTACTTTTCTTTTGAATGGTATTTTGGGATGGATTTCGCAAATATATTATCCTTTACTTTTCAAATTGCTTTGATTAAAAATTATGTATTTTTTTCATGTTTAATTAAGTTCTTTTACTATATTTTGTTTTGTTTACCGTTTTTATACTAAAGATGTTAGTCTGTAGAGTAAATTATAAATTAATCCTTCTTGTTTTGAAAAATAAATTAATTAATCCCTCTTATTTCAAAAACTAATTATTTATCTTCATATTTTAAAATTTACTTATAATTTAAACCTTTTATTTTTTAATTTATTTTGATTTTTTTAAGAAATAGAAAAAATGAAAAATGAAAAAAATATAGTCAGAAAATAATATATTTTGTGAAATAAAAATAATCTTAAATCAATTATGATCAGCATTGATTAAATGACTAAATAATAGTTTTTAAAACAATACGGACTAATTAATTTGTTTCATGAAACTAAAGGGACTAATTTATAATTCTCTTTTAGCTTGTGAGATAATGTTGCAAGTTGAATTTCTAAATGCGGATCACTTATCGGACTTGAGACTCAAAAAAATAATCTCAATGAAAATAATTTAAAAAACTAAAGGGACCAAATTATATATTATAATTCTAAGTGATTTCGTCTTCACGGAGCAGGCATATGCTCTTACGGGTGCGGCACAGCAGGCCAAAAACACCTGAGAATTTTGTAATGGGCACAAGTTTCCGCAAAAATATGGAGGAATGGTTTTTTTAAAACAGGCATGCACGAGACACCAACTCTGTGCCCAACGAACATTTCACCTCATCTCTTCTGCCGCTCAGACATGGCTGCCAACTTGACAGACAGAGGTCAATATCATTAATAATTCGAAAACACATGCACTTCCTGTTTTAAGTACGTGTTGTTTACTTCTGCTTTTCTAAATAATAATAATAATTGCATTACAGTAAATCTTTTAGACTGAAGTTGTCAGAATCGAACCGAAAAATGAATGATTACTGGTTTAATCCGCGGTTTTTTATTCAACTGTTTGATTCGCTTGTTAGTTCGAGCTGAACCAGTTTTTTTTTTTTTGTTTACAAATCTATAAATTATTTGAAGCACTAATCTACTTAAGATTTTTAATAAACATGTTCATATGACAAATAGTGCATGCTATTGCTTTCTGGCTTGATGGTCCCCAATGTCTATCTATTGTTTGGTTTGTCATAATAGTGTTCCTCTATTAAATTTTTCATTAATTTTGTACCTTTATTTTTATTTGTACCTTAATTTCGTCTTTCTGTCAAAATTTTCAGATAACGGCTTTAATTTTTGGTGATAGATGCAAATGATGCTGACAAGTGATGATTTTTTAAATTTTTGAAAAAAATAAAATTTTTTGAAAAAAAATCACAAAATGCCTTTCTTTTTCTTTACCTTTATGTATAGAAATAAATAATTAATTTCATCCCTAAAAAAAAAATTTCTCTCAAATTCAAACCAAAAAAGAAAATTTGTTATGTACAGAAAGAAACCATTTTTTTTAATTTCATATAGTTATTATGAAAATTTATTTCAAATCCAAACCTAAAGAAAATTTTTTACGAATTTTTTTTTCATAACATAGGAACAAAAGCAAAAGGCGAGAGAAAAAAAAAGGGACATTTTGGGATTTTTTTTTAAATCAAAAATTTAAATTTTTTTCAAAAATAAAAAAATTATCATGTGTCAACATTATATGCATATGTCATTGAAAATTGATGCCGTTACTCGAAAATTTAGATAGAGGAACGAAATTAAGATGTCAATTGAAGTAAAAGGATGTAATTACTAAGAAAATTAGTAGATGGACATGATGAAGATAAACGAAACAATAAATGAACATTATAAATCATTAACACATTGCTTTTTCATT